AGAAATGGCTGAGTTTCTAGTATGATCAGATTCATGAATGATATTTGCTGCGATGTATGAACGGTATATTCGAGTCGAACGAGTCTCATTTATGAACGAAAAATTGCATGCGACGCATCGTTACGGCATGCATACGATAATGGATGTTTTACGTTTTAGTGTTTCTTGTTTGACCTTCTGTTTTTAAGCTGGACAACTTTGAACATTGAAACAGTATAAATTAAACAAATTATTTGTTACTTGATTTTCTTTGAAATACTTATATTAAAAAAACCTGCCACACTGAACAGCTTGTCCATGTATTTGCATAACAAATAAGCATCAAAGTATCAAAAAACATGAGCTCATAAAGCGCTTCATTAGCCTATCAAATAATTATATTACAGCGAATATGTGGTGTGCATAATTCAGTTTTGCAAGCTGATCTTCTGTATAATGTAAACCATTGAATAACCAAGTTCTTTTACATTTGAATCGAAAAGCATGCATTAGCAAGATAATTTTTCAGCTTGGGGAAAAAAATCTTAAAAAACTATATTAGTCCTATAGAAGCTGTTTCCTACTGAGGTACATACATTGGCTGTTATCCAGACAGGAAAAAAGACTTTACAATATAACAAGTGGTGAAAGAGTCTCAAATTGCGAGCCGCGTCCTCGGAACGAGAGACAAAACTAAAGACTAAACCTTCTTGCAAACTCGTCGACAACTGTCGAAATACCAGCTATTGCAAATCATCTAACTAGTAACTACTATAGTATCCGAGGAAAATTCAAGTCCGTATAAAATACAAAGATGAACAACTCAACATTACAACCTCCAGCATCCAATATGGTCGAAGGCCGTGACTTTTTCATAACTTTGATGGTAATCAATGCTTTCAGTGGTTTCTTGGCGACTGTTCTGAACCTTTTGATCATCGTGACTTTAATCAAGACGCCATCTTTACGAACACCTTCGAACATTCTTATTCTTAATCTATCCATCACTGACTTTGGTGTTGGTGCTTTGGTGCAGCCTGTTTACTCTATAGTCATATTTGCACATATGAACAAAGTTTTACTTCGCAGTCAATTTGTACTTAATCCAGTTACAATGATATTATCATGTGCATCGCTTTTGACAATAACTGTCATTACGGTGGATAGATTCCTTGCTCTCCTTTTGAGTCTAAGATACCAAGAAATTGTTACAAAGAGACGCACTTCGAAAGTAGTTATAATGATTTGGACATTCAGTGTCTCACTGCCTTGTATACTATTGGCGATTTTCTCGTTTTTTAAAAAGATTAAGGATTATGACGTCGTAGTTGTGCAAATAAATAACTTTTTATTTCTTTCACTCTTTTTGTTAAATATTGCTCTGATGCTGAAAATATCTTCCATAATCAATCGACATTCAGCGCAGATTCAAGTTCAGCAGCAGGCAATGAACGCACAGCCTGGTGCAGCAGGGAACATTAAGAGATCTGTGAATATGATGTATTTTATACTGGGAACATTTTTCCTGTGTTATTTCCCATGTATTTGCTTTAGAATTATTGCATACTTTTCATTGTCGAAAATTGCCTTTGTCTGGCAGGTAGTATCGAACGTAGTTTTTACCATTCTCTGCATGAATAGCAGTATCAATCCAATCATATATTTCTGGAGAATACCAGACATGCGAAATGCTGCTCTTCAATTGTTGCGATCTATTCGAAGAAACAATAATAACATTAACGATAACAATAATAATAGAGATGCTGAAAACGACGTCTACGTATTATAATGCCAAAAGCAAACATTAATCGTAATATTCAGGATTTGAGTAAATTCAACTAAAATTTGCCTTCGAGTTCATATAAGT